TCGTTACCACAATAATAACGTAGTTACTGTAACGCGTTACTTAATAACGCATTAGTCCCAACACTGATTAATTCTTAGGTTTAACATGTTACATGTTAAAGTATTGCTTTACCTTTTTATTTGATGACCATCAGGGACATCATCCGTAAGGTGGAGCGGGCGGAGGCCTTGATGAAAAAGGCCTTGGAGATGAGTGAACTGGTGGAATGGCGATTTAAGGACCATAATGGGTCAATGGTGGCCTTTGACATGAACACCAACCTCACCCTCGAGGAAGCTTTCAAGACCAAACAAAAAGCAAAGATCAAGATCAACAATGACGCGTACACCGCCGACCCAGAGCGTGAAAAAGCAGTTTCAGCAAACGGACGTAATGACGTGGAGCTCCATCGAAAAGACCTGAAAGGTGAGTCATTAATGTGCACGTAGTCCTCATTTAACCTGCTGGAACAACACAAAACAACGTGTCCAACGTTTTCCATCAAACCAAACCATAGGCTGAAGAGATTCTAAGGCTCCATTCACAACATCTTGTTCGGGCTCCCTGACCCAGTCTATTTCTAACCCTTATCATGTGTATGCCTAAGCATGCAGCTGTGCTCTACGTCATCCTGCAATATTTCAGCCCAGTTATCATGCTGGATGAAGCTTATGACCTTCAAAACACCAACCGCCAACTCGTTATGAGCACAGTCACATTGTGTATATATTAGAATAATTAAAACAGCTTTAGTTAATCATTTTATAAACAATATAATAATTTTCAATGCTATTCAGACCAAGAAAAGGCTGAAATGTTTCAATGGTGAGTTTTTAAATTGAATTCTTGCTTAAAATGTTATAATGAACAGGAAAACTGAGCTGAATAGCTGTAGCTTATAAAACAAACTAATGAGCACAGTCCCACGGTGTATTTTTTTAATATTTTCCAATGAAACTGCAGGCAGAGCCTGTTGCACATATACAATGTTTATGTGGAATTAAATAGTTTGAACACTTATAATAGCTGTTTCAGGTACCAGCGCTCTGCCTTTGCCTTCATGTTGGGAGGACATGAAGGACGACCTGCTGAAGTTGTTTGCTGTGGCTCCAGCATCTAATGAATACAACGATGTGGAGAAGGAACTGACAAAGACCGGACTCAGCCTCAACATCATCAGTGTATGTTCAGTCATAAATACACAGACCAGGCTGTATGATGTACACAGAAGTATTCTATATTTTTTATATAATTGAAAACAAAAGGAGAGTAAATTAGTTCCCAAGTCTCAGCTTTAACTTCAGTTGGTTTGGCATAAACTGTAGTGTTGGATCTAGACATGTGACATCACCCATTCCCAGTTTGAAGCCTTGACTTTGCCACCTTGGTCATTTCTAGCCAGCAGAATATAAATGTTGAATAAATTATAAATACTTTGTCAACAATCATTAGAGAGCAGACACAGAGGTAAGAAGGACAGTTATTGTACTTCGATGAAAATCACCAACATGATGTGTTTGGATTACGTCGGCAGATCGAACGAGTCCAAAATCCGTCACTGTGGCAGAACTACCAGATCATGAAGAAACAAATGGAGGTGAAGAATAAACACACAAACAATGAACTGCTTCTGTTTCACGGCACCACTGACACCTCCATTGATCTGATCAACAAACAAGGCTTCAACCGCAGCTACGCAGGAAAAAATGGTAAAGCCATCACACACGGTACACATTTTAACATTGCAACACATTTATTCAAAATTAAGTGCTGATGAAGTAAATGAGGTAAGTAATCACAGCTTCTCGTGTCGGAGATTTGAAAAAGCATGGTGCAGTGTAAGTGTGATGATCCACACATCTTCAGTCACACAGTTTTTCATTACTTTATAAAGTCACTGGTAGGAAGGCCGTACGCTGTCCTTGAGTCACAGGTCACTGTATCTGTTTCAGTCACTGCATCCACTCAAAAACATTAGGTTAAATGGACAACCATGAAATGGGGAAAATATTTAAATATTACATGTACTTATTTCCCCCATAAAAACATTAAATACATTATATATAGAGATGGCACGATACCACTTTTTTATGTCCGATACCGATACCGATATGATAAATTTGGATATCTGCCGATACCGATATGAATCCGATATAGTGTTTTTTAATCAA